ATGAAATACATGCTATACTAAGTTTCTACCTTGGAAGAGTCTATCCTAAAACATGTTTGCAATTTGTCTCATGTAACCTATATTTTAAAATATAAAATGTTTATTTACTGAAGACTAAAAATACTTTCAAAGTCTAAAGTTAGCACCAAAAACATTCAACAGTAAGAATATATAGTTTTTTAAAATAGAATTTCATTGTTATTAAAGTATTGTAGAGAATTTCATAATTCAGGTAATGCATACATTTCTCTTTTGGACCAGGTTAGCTCTTCCTTTTCTTAAGAATAATATAGTTTTAAAACCCGATTCACTAAAACAATCATGAATTACTTCCTACAGAAAATTCTTTCTTCCTAACTCATTGTTGGGAAATGAAATGTTCAATTGATCAGACTATTCTCCTGATATTCGATGAATCCATTTGAAGAACTGATAGGGTGCTCTTCTTGGATGGGTCTGGGAGTTTTTACAGAGATGAAAATGTGGAGAATAAGCAATCAGAAAAGGCCAGCTTGGTAGAATGAATGTGAATATCTGGCATAGGAACCTATTTGTCCTTATTAAAGATCTTTTTATTCCCCTCAAGTATATTGTGAGATTGAAGTGAATGAGGGAGACAGGAGTAGCAGGGAAAAGTGTGAAGAATTTGAAGCAAAGAGCCATGAGGCCACTGGAAACTAGCACTTATTTATTAGGCAGGGTCAGAGGCAAAACAAGAGCCCGATAATTCGACAGCCTCAGTGAAGGCTACCCTGGAGAGAGTTAGAAGAAAAATGTTTCAAGAAACTGGAAACAGGAATATTAAATAAAGACAGCCTGAGATTGCAAAAGAGAATTCCATTATGATTTTAAAACTTAAAAAGCATTCTGTAAATTCTCGCAATTAGATAAGGTCATAGAACAGACACATATAAACTACTACTGCTATGACATTTACATCTGATACTACTACTGAGAGTCAATTTTTATCAAGGAAATAATAGGTTGTAGGAGCTAGGCTATATGTGCATTGTACATGTCAACATAAGTTATTCAGAAATCTTAGCATACAGGCATGATTATTATCTCTATTTCATAGATCAAAAAAAACAAAATGAAGAAAAATTAAGTACTAGCTAATTATTATATACTGAATGTTTGCATTCTTTCCAAACTGACATGGTGTTTTATCCCTCCATGTGATTATATTTAGAGATGGATATTTTGGGAGGTAAGTAGGGTTATATGTGGTCATGTAGGGGGAAACCCCATAATGGAACTAGCATCTTTAGTGGGGGTGTTTCAAAGACAGAGAAAAGGTGGCTATCTACAAGCCAGGTATAGAAGTCTCACCAGAGTCTGACCATGCAGACACAGAGTTCTAGCTCCAAGACTATGAAATATAAGTGCCTGTTGTTTAAGTCGCTGACATTTTAGAAGCAATGTAATGATGTCTTAAAATCACCCCTTCAATCTCTTCCCCCCAGTTTATTTATTTATTGCTAATGCTCTATTTTATTGTAGCCACTGAAGTTTTAGACTAGTTTGTACCATTTGAAGAGATGAGAATGAAATGTGCGTTTCTTTCAGAGATTACAGTTTCTCATGACAGTCACTAGACTGAGGAAAGAAGAGAGAGCCAGATGACCAAAGGTTTCGTAATCACATTTCAGAAAGTAAAGCACAGGCAGTTCTCCTTGAAGTCCTGTTATGAAGTACATGTTCCTAGATGAACTACTACCCAGAAAGAAATACCACCATGGCTATGAAAAGCCAGTGCTAGCTAAGGATTATATTGTTTAGCTCAGTATAATATATAGCTCAGTGTATGTATTTCTCTGAGGAGAAAATAAGATTTTTTATGGGTGCAGGATACTTTTTGCTTCTCTTTTGGATGTTGGGGAAAGAGAAAAGGAGAAAGGGATCTGAGACTATCAGATGGGGAAAAAAATTCAAATGGGCCTGAATTTTTAAGCAAGGTTGTTGGACACTAGACACTGGGGTATGAAACTGAAAAAGCAATACTGGAGACTCTTCACTGTTCTATTATATGTTAGCCTCCTGGCATGTATTACTTATTTCTCACAACCACCTCAGGAAAATACTACATTTTCAGATGATGAAAATGGGGCTGAAAAACACAGACAGAAATTTAGATTTGGTCCTGAAGGTCTGCAAAATCCAAAGATTGAGCCTTTCTTTGCATTCCGAATAATGTAGAAGAATGAGAGATGTAGAATTCTGCATATTCCCAGATTCTTGGCTTAGTAGAAAATTTAAAGGTTATCATCAAGATGTTACTGAAAATGTATCTGCAGGACTTTGATATTTTACAACTTCATGTCCAACAGATTTGAACCTTTCAAAATAAAAGAAAACAAGAACTACTTCCTGAAGATTAAAGACAGTAAAAAATATATATTTGCAATAATGTACATGGAACAGACAATCAAAATTTAAGGATGAAGAAAAATAACTAGATGCGCTTCATGCCTTATATTTGTATTAAAACTTTTAACACACATGAAAATTATTTTTCTAACTACAACAACCTCTAATGTTTTAATATTTAATGATTTTATTGCAAGGTACATACAATAAAAATCTTCACATTCCTACTGAAACATAAAACATTTTCTAAAATATTGTATATATGTTTATAACTTACTTAGCTTATTCCTAACTTATCTTTTGGCTTCTCAACTATCTAATATCCTCAATTCTTTCCATATCCCTTAATTAAAAGTGAATTTTATAACAAATAAATTCTTTTGGTCCTGCATGTTGCATCTTTTATATTTTCACTGCTCAGATTTTATATCAAATGATTCTGATAAAATTAGGAACCTTTGCTCCTATTGTCAAAAGTCTTTCTGGGGCTGTTGTGCCTAGAAATAAATCAGTTTCACTGAATTAAAGTCCGTGTGTGTGTGTGTGTGTGTGTGTGTGTGTGTGTGTGCGCGCGCGCATGCTTGCAAATGCATACATTGGTACTGGGGCTTTGGCGATGGGCCATAGTTTTTTCACTCAAGTCTGGCACTCTACCACTTGAGTCACAGCTCTATTTCTGGTGTGTGTGGGGGGAGGGGGGGAGGGGTGGATGATCAGAGACAAGAATCTCCTGGATTTTCTTGCCTGGATTGGCTTCAAAACACAATCCTCAGTTGTCAGCTTCCTGAGTAGCTAAGATTACAGGGTAAGGTACTGCTGGGCCAACATTATTTTCCTAATGCACAGAAGGAATGTTTGAAGGGATGAAGAGAAGAGGTATCAAATATTTAATATATCATTTGAAGTTTTTATATATTAATTCCTTAACAGTGGTTGTGGGGACAGAAGCCTAATCTACCATGTAAACTGAGAATGTATGGCTCATGAGGACCAGGTGTACCCCAAATCCCTTCTGAATACTTGGCACAGAGTAAGCACTCAAGTATTTCCTGAATAATCAGGTGTCTGGCTATACCTCTTATCTTCCAAAATGCTGACCAAATGTAAGCATATGGTCCAGTGGAAGGTGATCAAGATGGGATAATGGGTCTAGATCTGGAGACTATGTCATAACCTGAAAAGCAATTCACAAAATGAATGTACTTGAGAATAATAAGCAAGAATATAGTTATGGTTCACAAAGAAACCATGCTCTGAAGGTGCCCAATCAGCTTTGAGTTACCAGCCATGTGTCTTTGGCAAAGTCACTGGAGTCCTAATCTTATCTTTGAAAACAGACCTCACAGAACTCTTGAGGATTAAATGAACAAGGAAAGCATCTAACACAGCAAAGAATTTTAGAAATACGAGTAGGTGATTCAGAAATTTTATGAGAACAGTTTTAATTAGAAGAGTATTAGCTAAGGTATTTATTAATCTGACACAGATTCTGTGATTAATGATGTGATTTCTATCTCATCATTGAAAATGTAAGGCTTAGTTTACAGTTCTCTGTACAAACCAATAGTTAGACTGGAGGTAGGTAGTTTGGACTTTACAAAGTCCATACTGTGTAAACCTCACTTCTCTCAACATTCTCATCCTCCAAAAAAGGGGAAGTCATGGAAGTCTACTAGAAATAGGAAATGAAAACACCCACAAGTTATGTGCTCATTACTGATGACTCTAGAAAAGGGTCAAGGGGCATTACACTATTACACCTCCACTATTTAGATTAAATAAATATTGATTTAGTAAACATTTCTTAAGTTTAAAGGTTCATCTGATGAAATGAACCAATCTATTTAATGTTAACAATTGTGGTTTCTCTTTACCTCCTTTTTTTCTGTATCCCAAGGGCACATTTAATTCAGAAGAGCAGGAGGGGCTGGGAAGGTGGCTCAGTGTTAGAGTGCTTACATTGCATGCATGAGGCCCTGGGTTCAAATCCTCAGCACCACATAAGCAAAAACAAAAAAGCTGGAAGTGGCGCTGTGGCTCAAGTGGTAGAGCACTAGCCTTGAGCTGAAGAGCTGAGGGACAGCGCCCAGGCCCAGAGTTCAGCTCCATGACCAACAAAATAAATAAATAAATAAAGTGGAGGAGAGCAGTATGGACGTTAGGGGGGCTACAAGTTTTTTTAAAAAAAAAGAAGAGCAGGAATTGCCTGTAGTGAGGGTTCTACCAATGTGCCTGGCCCCAGATACATGAAAGTTTTGAGATCAGAAAACAAGTGCTTTTTCATTTACTTTGCCTTCTATACGCAGTATGAGATATCTGAAACACTCTGATCCACATTACCTGGTTTTATCCTTCTCTCGTCAGTAAGTTACCAGTCTCCACTGCCTTTACCTTTATGACTGTTAATGTTTCCAAGACCTAATGAAGATATAATTCACAAACTGGAAAAAGAGTAAACTTGCTTGGAGATGGGACTTTAACTGATGGATCCTCAGAAGACATTTCTGACAACAGGGAAGGATAGTGAAGCTATCTTGAGAAAAAACAATAGAATCTAAACTGAAAAGTACAGCAAAACTAAGTTTTCTTGCTACTCAAACAAGCTTTAAGAAAGAAACTGAAATACTTACTTTAGAATTAGTTTCAAGGATTCAAGTCTCACCAACTTCCTTATATTTCTTCATCTGTTAAGATGGGAAATATATTTAAAATTCTTTATATGTTCTGACATTAAAGAAGGCTAGAATAAAAACACTGGCTTTCTGAGCTGCTATTTCACTCCACACCTACTCTTCCTAGAATGTCAGGGACTTCATCCAGTTTTTACAAAGTGTTTATCAGCTCCAAACGCCCAATGTGTTTGGAGAACTGTGTTAAGAGTACATGAAACATTTTAAGTTGATTTCTTTGTAGTTCCCCACATTCTTCCTATTTCATTCATTTGTGTTACTTGCCCTGACCCAGAGAATGGGGACCAAATCAGTGGGGGACCCTGTGGTGAAGGAGACAGGAACTTCTGTTCCCAAGCAGTCCTATAAGGATTTAACAAGCACTGTGGAAGAAAAAGAAGCACTATTGTTACGGGCTTTAACATTTATATGCTACTCAGGTTCAGGAAAGCCCGGTAGATTTCTCCCCTAAAGTTTTCACTATTACTAATAACAATGAATACAGAAGACAACTTATTCAGAGAATACACAGAAACGTTTTGAATCTTGGAAAAATAAGCAGGCAAGATTTTAATTATTTCTCTGTACAAATATAGGTAAAGAACTCACCTTAAAAAGAAGAAAGTTGGGTACTGATGGCTCACATCTATAGTCCTACTACTCAGGAGGCTGAGCTCTGAGGACCATGGTTGGAAGCCAGCCTGGACAAGAAAGTCTATGAGACTCTTATTTCTAATTAACCACAAAAAGGCAGAAGTGAAACTGTGGCTCAAGTCATAGAGCACAGCCTTGAGTGAAAAGTCACACACGCACACATACACACAGAGCTTAAGAATTACAACTATAACATGCTTTCACATCCATCAAGATGGACACTGTCAAAAACCCTATGTAAGCCTGCTGCTGCTGGCTCAGGCCTATAATCCTAGCTACTCAGGAAACTAAGATCTGAGTCTCAGCCTTTGAAGCCAGCCTGAGCAGTAAAGTCAGTGGGACTCTTGTATCCAATTAACCAACAAAAAGCCATAAGCAGAGCAGTAGCTCCAGTGGTAGAGTACCAGCCTTAAGCAAAAAAGCTAAGGAACAGTTCTCAGGCCTGAGTTCAAGCTCCAGTGACACACACACACACACACACACACACACACACACACACACACACACACAGAGTTCAAGCTCCAGTGACACACACACACACACACACACACACACACACACACACACACACACACACACACACACGCCCCAAAGAAGCAGCAGCAGCAAACAAACAGAACCCCAAGTAACAAACATGAGGATGTGGGACAAATTAGATTCCTGTGCTGTTGATAAGAATGTGCAATGGAGCACCACTGTGGAAAACAGCACTGTAAACTTAAAACACTAAACAAAATTACCACGTGATCAGCTAGATCATTTCTGATACATGCCTAAAAGAAGGCTGGATCTTAGAAATTTGCATGCTCAAGTTTCTAGCAGCATTATTCACAACAGCCAAAAGGTGGAGACACCCCAGGTGTCCATCAGTGGATAAATGCATAACTAGTATGGGGCATTCATAAAATAAAATAAGTAAAATACTATTTCACTTTTAGAAAGTGAGTAAATTCTCAGATATGCTTTAATATGCACGATCCTTGGCACTGTACCAGTGTAAACCATGCCAATTTCAAAAGGACAAGTACTGAATGATTCTTCTTATATGAGGTACCTAGAACAGTCACATTCATAGAGACAGGAAGTGGGATGGTGGTTGTCAGGCTTGGGGACAAAGGGGGAAAAGGAGCTGTTTAATGAGTGAAGTGGTTCTGGTTCAGTTCTGCAAGATTAAAAAGTTCTAGAAGCTGGGTGCTGGTGGCTTATACCTGTAACCCTAGCTATTCAGGAGGCTAAGATCTAAGGACTGAAGTTCAAAACTATCCCAGGCAGAAATGTCCATGAGAGTCTCATCTCCAGTAAATTGTTCAGGAAAAGCCAGAAGTTGTGCTGTGGCTCACGTGGTAGATCACTAACCTTGAGCACAAAGAGGCCCAGGTCCTTGAGTTCAAGCTACAGAACCAGAAAAAAAAAAGAAAAGATCTAGATGTCTGTTACGCAACAGTGTGAATGTAGAACTGTATGCTTAAAAAAACTCAAGAGAAAATTTTATGTCACCTGTATAAAATTTGTGACCACACAAAAGACAAGATAAAGGAAATACCTTGGTGGGGGAAGGGGTGGTGCTGAGAAAAGATTAAGATAAGGTTTTTGCTACAGATATATTGGTTTCCTTTTTTTAAAAATGTTTTAATAATGTTTCCTTTGTTTAAAAATAGATTTTTTAAACAATATGGAATGTATGCAACTGGGACTTCAGAAAACAAGAGCCTCACCTTTTGGTTATGAAGCTCTGTCTGGGTAGAGAGAAACCGTGTCTTCCTAGAATGAAAGTTTCAAGAGCTTCTTAATTATGTTTATATCTCACTGTTGTTGCTAAGGTATTCCATAGCTACTGAATACATAGGTATTAAAATGAAGCAAACTGAGATTACAAAGTTTAAAATTTGCCTTGGAGCCCAGAAGCTGCAGATTCCCAAATGAGATAATTTGCTCAAGGGACACCACATTATTTTATAAATTTAGTAGTTTCACTATAGTAGTTTGTCAAGAGACAGTTTGTACAAAGAATGTAAATTTTACTATGGGTTTCAACTCTAAATTTTAACCTTAGTCTAAGCTGCAAAGAATTTTTTTTCAGTGGGGAGGACTGATGTTTAAGATTTGGAAAGCTGGGACTGGGAAGGTAGCTCAGTGGCAGAGTGCTTGCCTTGATGCATGAGGCCTTGGGTTCAATTCCTCAGCACCACATAAGCAAAAAAAGCCAGAAGTGGCGCTGTGGCTCAAGTGGTAGATCACTAGTCTTGAGCTGAAGAACTGAGGGGAAGTGCCCAGACACAGAGTTCAGGGCTCAGGAGCAAAAAAGAAATAAAAAAAAATATGTATTTGGAAAGGCTCCAGTTTTATACCTTGCAACACTAAAATGATTATTATGAAATGGTTATTATCTCTGAAAAAGCTTGATCTAAAGTATAAACTACCAGTAGATGTTTAAGTACAACATGTTTTTAATATATGTATAATATTTAATGCTTTAGAGTCAGATTGTAGGCTGCGCCTGACCTATAAATAACTTGAAGAATAGCAAATGCAATAACAAGTAATAACAACATTTCAAACAGTAGTACTTCTCTGGGAGCCAGTGGCTTATGCTATAAATCTAGCTACTAAGGAGGCTGGGATCTAAGGATTGAAATTCAAATCCATCTTAGGCAGGAAAGACCAAATAACCAGCAAAAAGCCAGAAATGGAGCTGTGACTCAAGTGGTAGAATCCTATCTTTGAATGAAAAAGGACTGGGACTGCACCCAGGCCAACTTTAAGTTTCAGAAGTGAATAATTTTTCTTAAAAAGCAAGAAAGAAAAAAAAAAGCACTATTTCCAACAGTCTCACACCATGCTGAGCTCCTTCTAGTTCCATTTAAATTAGTCACAGAAGGAATGACAAATTAACAACCAAGACAGGGACAAGAAAACATAAGACTGATCCTTCTCGGAGTGAGTGCAGAGATCTTCCCTTGCAAACTTAGTGTGATGGTATAAATGGATGAAGGCAAAGATTTCCTAAAGAGTTACAGAAGCACACTCTCCATTACACCCACCAGAACCTGTACCAATTGCCCGTAATCATGTTCTTCAATAAATTAAGGATGACCTCATCCCAATTAGAAAATACAACCTTCAGGCCAAGGATAGCAAGAGTCCATAAACACACCCAGAATACCAACTATAAGAGCCTAGCATTGACATTTCAGGCTCTGGTTAGCACCAGGCTTGGGTTTAAGGGGGTTGCCCACTTACCTTTCCAATGAGAAGACAGATAGAAGAAAGAAAAGAAGCAGGAAGAAAGGAGGAAACAACCTTGGAGCCAGCTGTAAATGCTCCCCAGATCTTAAACTGCCCCATCTTAAACAGCCAGGAATATTCTCTCTCTTTCTCAGGTCTCTGACATTCCTAAGAGGCATAACCTAATATGGTCAGAAGAGTTACAAGGAACAGTGGGAAAGCTGGAAAAATGCCCGAAAAAGGGCTAATGGCAACTTTTCTTCTTCAGGAACTTCAGGTCTGTTTTTTCTGAGTCTCTAACACCTATCTCACTAGGCACTGAAATAAAGGTAGAAAAATCAACACTGTAGTCTGAGAAAATAAGAAAAAATGGTACCTTTTAAACTTATGGTGATATTCTTAATATTTTGTTGTGTTTAAGTCTGAAAACATTGTGAAGTTAACTTACCAGTTAGGAAAACTTGAGTTTAATATAGATGTGTCTGTATAGCTCACTCTTACATAAAACACACCTCCATGAGGTTCTAATGGTAGCAAGCAAGATTGTATATGCTATTGTTTTTAATAATGTGCAAATCTTCAGTCCAGGAAGTAATTTCAGTAGATGTTCTATTAAAACTACTAGAAAAAACAAGCCATTGAAACATTTTTCTACAATCATTTTGTTGGGGAACATTTTGCATTTTTTCTCCTCTTATTTTCCAATTCTTAAAAATAGCTTGAATTCTGATTTATACACACAAATTACAAGAGAAATTATTTACTTTTAGTTCAGCTTTAGTGATTCTCCTGGAATAATATGTAATGCATTAAGATTGAATGCTAGGAAGGGTGATATTGTCCAAAGAAATGTACTCATTATCTGACTTATGTAACTGTAACCCCTTTGTACATTACCTTTATCATACCAATAAAAAATAAGAAATTTAAAATTTAAAAAGGTTGAGTAAAACAGAGGATTCAAAAAAAAATTTTTTTTTTTGGTCAGTCACGGGGCTTGAACTCTGGGCCTGGGCGTTGTCCCTCAGCTCTTCAGCTCAAGGCTAACTCTCTACCACTTGAGCCATAGTGCCACTTCTGGTTTTCTGGTGGTTTATTGGAGATAAGATTCTCATGGACTTTCCTGCCCGGGCTGGCTTTGAACTGTGATCTTTAGGTCTCAGCTTCCTGAGTAGCTAGGATTACAGGTGTGAGCCACTGGCGCCCAGCAAGGATTCAAATTTTGAAT